CCCCCTTCTTCCCCACCTCCCCCTCCTCAGCAACCGCCAACACCACCACCTCCTCCACCACCCCTTCCATTGGCTGATGAATTGCCGCCACTGCCTCCAAACACTCCTCCTTTACCTCCTAATTCACCTCCCCCTCTGCCACCTTCTCCTCCATCCCCACCTCCTCCCCCTCCTCTTCCTCCTCCTGCTGTTCATTCCCATGGAGGTGAACTAGGAGAACCTTTACCTCCCGGTGTAGATCCTCCAGAACTTCCATACATTGTTGCTCGACCTCCTCTCTCCACAGCAAATTCTTATTCAAGTCATTCAGCATCAGCAGCTACAGGATCTCTTCCAAATGACTCTGTGTTTGGACCACCTCTACCTTCTCAGTCTCCCCCAGACACAACGGATGTCAATATGACGCCAATTATACATGACGATGCCCTTTCTTTAGGGCCAATTACTCATCATCTGCAAGCACAATATGTGATGGGAAACGCGTATCAGGTTTGTCACATTTTTGACTTATACAACTATTTTTTTCTTTTTTGAGAATTCTAATTTGGTTTTGCTATGAAAGGAATGCTGGTGTCTATATTCAGAACAATATTAATTATTTTGTGTGCTCTCTTAAATACAAAAGAGATGCCCAACAGTTTCAAAAATGTTCATGGTGTTGATAATGTTTTAACATTGTAATATGATTAGGAATAGTCACTCAGAAATGAAAAAGCAATTCACTTGCACCCAATTTTATTACAGCAAACTGCTATGGTAACTTCAACTATTCCTGCAATACCAATGGCTGCAGCTCCAGGAATGGAGTACGGTCCTGTTCCATACGTTCCCGCAATTACCATGTCTGCAATTCCTGCAACTAATGTCCATGTAATTGCAAAACCACCAGCCAAAAAAGCTAAATCATCTCTTCATGATGAATTAGACTCTTTTTACTCTGATCTGGCATCTTTAGAATCAGTGGGAAGTGCACCAGCTGCGGCCCCAGATGCAGCGGTTGATCAGTTTTTAACCGAGGACAGCCCTTCAACCAGTGCATCTATACCAACTCCACCTCAACAGCATCATTTACTGCAGCAGCAGCAAGTACAAAAAAGAAAACAGCAGCAGTCACCCCAACAATGTCCAGACTCAAATTCTTTGCTTCATGGGTCAGTTGTTGCTCACAATAGTCAAGCATCAGGAGCAATTATTGATGATGTCCCTACTAAGTCGACTGATGTTAATGCTCAGGAAAATCGCAAAAGAAAAAAGGTATATTTTTTAATATTGAGCATATTTAGTGTTACTAGATTAGAAAATATTATGGATTTTAATTTCCTCTCTCTTTGGTTTTATGTATTTATCTTTTGTATGCTCTATATTCCTTTACTTTCACCCAGCCTTTTTACCTCATTTCCATTTAATCTTTCCCATAATTTGTCTCGATTTGCCAATGCCATTTTCCATTTCTTTTAAAAGTTTTCAGAATAGGAATTTTTTAAAAAAATGTATAAACAGCTTTAGGTTCGTGTTGTCATGATTATTGTAATTTGATAGCTTGTAAATTTTGATAGTATCATCCTTGTGTATTTGCATATTTTTTACAATGGTAACTATAAAACTTTCAGTGGAAATTTGTTTAACATAGTATCTTTATTTGTAGCCAAAATTAGCACCAGGATTGGCTCTGAAGAAAAAAGGTGTGTCATCACTGGTAGCAAAATGGCAGCAAGTGCAGCAAGAAGTGAGGCGTGATTTTAAGAACCTGGATGAAGAGGATGGTGTCTCATCAACTCACAAGTAATGCAGATGCTGTGAGACTATAAAAGTGCCTCGTTGATCTGCCAAGTTCGACTGTGTGATCTCATTGAAGACTATTTTTTTAGTGCTCTTATGTTATTTTGTAAATATTTCTTAAAACTGTTTCCTTTCCTGAAATTGGACAGGTGATTCATTATTATTATTAATACTACTATTATCCTATTGTTATGATGCATTTTCTTGTATGTGTGGAAAGTATTTTCAGACAAAGTGTGTGCTGTTACGTACAATTGAAATAAAAACCTTCCAAAATGTGAAAAATTTAGTATTGTAATATCTTGTATCTCAGTACTTTTTAGGTGTTAAATGTATACCCAGAACAATTTTCAAATAATTTCATATCCTTTGCCCTATTGATTCTCTACTTATTTTCCATTTATCATTCATTCACAATACTGTACAAAAATATACATTCCAGTGATATTAATGTTTAACTGACATATTATTATTGTTATTATTATTATTAGTAGAAGTAGTAGTAGTAGTAGTAGTATTGTAGGTTCTGTGAAGGTAATTGAAAATCTAATGAACCTTGAATAGAATCTTCATTTTCCAGTAGTGTTGAACTCATCCACGAAAACTACAAACTATCTTTATTACAGATGGCAAACTTTCCAGAACCACCTCATATTTGTTTTTTTATCATTAGTAGGCTTTTTCCAGGAAATTACTGCTTCCATGAGAAAGGCTATCAGCATAGGTTTTTTTCTTTGATTTCTTGATGCAGTTTCCTTGCTTTGCCATGGCAAGCAGTGACAACTAAAGTTGCTCTGCACCCCGCAGGTAATGTGAAGGCTTGTTTCCCGAAGTTGCCCTAGCACTTTGCTCCAGTGCCATGTAAATTCATGGACTCAGGGCACACAATTGTAAAAACAAAAAAGAAGAAAAATTGAATTAAAAAAAATTTCAAAATCTAAAATACAAAAGTGATGTATGATTAGACTAATGCAAAAAATTGGCGTAATGGAGTGGTGTCTTGCATCATTGGATAATATTTATAATATATGAAATGTTGCTGGTTGATGCAAGAATGTCATTCAATAATAAGTATAACTTTTTTAACAAAACTTGTCTTTAAATATTTTGATTATTTTTGAGTATTTAACTGAGAGTATTCTCCACGCAACTTTTCTTGACTGATGGATTGAAGAAATGCGGATAGAGTGGAAGTATCAGGTAAGAAATCGGCCACTAGGTTTTTTAAAGCAATGCCAATCATTGGAGAATCAATCATCCCTTCACAACTTTCTCAATAATTTGCGTTCTATCTCAGGTATTCAAGGTATCTACTGGGAAAGATCTTCACTTGCTTTGGTCATTTCTTCAAATTTTTTAAAGAAAATCACAATCAGGAATTCTTAAACAGAAAATATTTTGCCCCACTGATGATGATGATGATAATTATAATAATAATAATTTTTTATTGCTTATAAACTTACATAAAGCATCAAGCAAAGTCAGTCTAGAAATTAACTACAAATTCAGTAAGTTAATTTCATTAACTTTCAGTAATACTATTATAAGTTTACATTATCTGTCTAAATAACATGATAAAAATATACCTAGTTGATTAATATAGACAATTACATTAATTTAAGTTATAACAAATTACATTCGATTACATAACTTACAGTAATAATTCAAATTGTTTTCTCAACGAATTACATGAATAATAATGCAATTGCTTATTATAAACATTGATGTAAATTAAATTTTAAACTACACACAGCCTCATTAACTCAAAAACTAACATTAACAATAAACTAGTAGATTATAATAGTGGCAAATAGCTTACAATTAGAGTAAATAATTCACTTATTTTATAGTAGCAGTTTAACTTACAATAACTTTAGAACCATTAGGTGTACGATTAATGATCATAATTACATTAATTACAATATCTTGACATATAATTACATTATTTACTACATTGCTGAATAATACATTGCCTTATTGTACTGAATGAAGACAGGTACAAAGAGTGGTCACTCTTGTAGCAGTACATGGTTTTTAATTATAGAAAGTTGAAGCAATTCAGATATCTTGTATGGACACACACTAATAAGATGATGTTTAAGCAGTGTTTTGATGTATTTGTCATCAGCAGTGTTTATTTTAACTGGGAGTTTATTAAAGAGCTGTGCCGCAATACAGAAAGGATCTTTGTTAGTTGAGGACTTGCTAGTGTATATCCTGTGGTAGTCCCTATGTCCTCTAGTAGGGCGGTTATGTATCTCTTTACTGCTCACAAAATATTGATTTTGATTATTTGTCAATAGTAATACTTTGTAAGAGTAGAGTGCTACAACAGTGAGTAATTCATATTTAATAAAGAAATCTTAACAGGACTGTCTGGGATTCAGTTTAAAAATGCTTATACATTTCTTTTGTAGGACCATTAATCTATCCATATTTTTTTGTGTTGTACCATGCCAAATTTCAATGCTGTATTGAAGTTGAGAGAAGATTGTTCCATAACATACTGAAATAAGTGCATCAATTTGTAGGTATCTGGAAAAGTACCACAAGAGGAATATATTAGAGTTTATTTTATTACAAAGTGTATCAACTTGTTTATTGTATGTTAGGTTTTGATCTATGAATATTCCTAACAACTTATGACAATCAAGTTGGTTCACTGATTCATTGTCTACTTCCACTTTTATGTTTCGGTGTTGGTGACTGCAATGAAACTTGAAGTTGATTAATACAGTTGTATCAACGTTTAACTTCAATTCATTTATGGACAAATAACTTTTAATTGATTTTAATGATTCAGTCAGATTAGCTTCTAAATGACGAAGATTTTGCCCACTACTTATTAATGTTGTATCATATGCATAAGAAATTACAGAGAAATCAGATGAGCTTGGAATATTGTTAACATATGATAGAAATAGCAGAGGTCCAAGCACCGATCATTGCAGAACACCAGATGTAATTGTATCAAAATTTTATTTAACTTTGGATAAAAACTTTTCAGATTGCCGGAAGATCTCTGTACATTGTTGTGACGACCTGTGAGGTAATATCTAATGAGGTTATTGACTCTACCTCTTATTCCATAATAATCAAGTTTTGCCAACAGTTTCTCATGAGATACGCTATCAAATGTCTTGGAAAGATCCATGAATAAACCTGCTATTTTTCTATTTAATTCCAAATTTCCAATGATTTCATGTATGAACTCTACAACAGCCAGCGGTAGTGCAGAAGCCCTTCCTGAAGCCATGTTGTGCTTTATTAAGAATATTATTAGATTCAAGAAAACAATTAAGTCTTGCTAATATAACTTTCTCATAGAGTTTGCCAAATACTGAAGTTAGAGTTATAGGTCAGTAATTCCCAACATTCTGTGTATTATTATTATTATTATTATTATTATTATTATTATTATTATTATTATTATTATTATTATTAGCAAGTGGTCTTACAATACTGATTTTTCGGGATTCTGGGAAGGTGAATGCAGCTAGAGATGTATTTATTAAGTAAACTAATAAATTAAGAAGAGCAGGCTTACATTTTTTAAGAATTATTGAAGATATTTCATCATTCCCAGTTGAGCAATTATTTTTTAAGGAATTTATCAGTTGATTAACTTTAGTAGCATTTGTTTGTTGGAGAAACATGGATTTTGAAGTTTCAGAAGATAATGAATTAATAGTATTATTGTTTACAATGTCCTGCTTTGAATTTAAGAAATAACAGTTAAAGGTCCTACAAATATCAGAAGGATTATCAAGAAACATGCCTTCATGTAGTAGGTGTATGTTTTTGTGAGACACTGTTGGTTATATTCCATAATGTTTTAGATTTATCTGTTGAGTTGTTAACTTTATTATTTAATTGATTATCTTTCTCATTCATCAGTTTTACCCTATATTTTTTTTATACTGTTTATACTTTATAAAACAGGTTCTTAGTATCTCTGAACAGGTCATACATGTTTTTTATTTTATTTCTAAGAACAAAAATTTCATTCGAAAGCTTAATTTTGGTTTTTTCGCAACATTAAAATGTCTCTTAATAATGGGACATATAATATTCAAATGACAGATAGATGAAAATCAATATTATGAGAAGAGTATTTATACATTTCAATGTTTGTAATGATGTAGTCTATGATAGAGCTGGAATTGGTTGTAATACGTGTTGGCCCTAATTCTACATCATGAAGATTGAAGCTCTTTAGTAAATCCTGTAGTTCATTGTGTTCAATATTAATGTTCAGTTCTCCCACAATAATTAACTTACAATTGTTGTTTCCTATAAGTTTACTTAAAAGTTCTTCTAACCCGAGTAGAAAGTCATTGACGCTCGAATTTGTGCTTACATCTACACCTGCTACTTCAATAGTCATTACAATGCTCATATCTCTAGTCCAATCTATTGATTTGCAAGTTAAATTATTCTGGACTATTATTGCAACACCACCACTTTTGTTAAATTTTCTACAGAAACATGCATTAAGTTTATAGTTAGAGAAGTTAATTGTATTAATTTCATTATATTTTAGACCATGTTCAGTAATGTCTCCTACACGTATAAAAGTTTCTTCAAGTATTGTCTCAAACTGTTCAACCTTCTTATGTATGTACTGAATATTTTGGTGAAGTACATTGAGGACACTATTTTGTTTTAAATTTCTACCACAAGTGTGTTGTCTTGATTGCTAAATGTTGTAAGAAGAAGTAATGTGTGGTTGTTGTGATGTGGAAGCCACAATTGAAGCAAAGGTTTGGGGAGACAGGGTGTAGAAACCCTAATGGAAACGGTGGATTGGGAAGACAGACAAGGTGCATGAGAAGTGGCTAAGAGGTGAGAATGAGGTTTAGGTGTGGGTGAAGGGGTGAGTGTGATGGAGATGGCAGATTTGTATGATTGTGACGTGGAAGGAGGTGGAGAGATGAGGGATGTGAGAAGTGCAGAAAGATTGCGTTTCCCGTTTGTGGAAAGATGTAGACTATGGTGAGTAAAATCTGTTCAGTCTGAGAATCCAAGGTCTGCAATTTTAATTTGTGTGTTTCTAGCAAGAAGCATGATTCCCTTGTTTGTTGGTTGGATACAAGTGTTGTGTTTAGTGGTGTCATGTCTGGTTGCAGGGATGTCATTATTACATTTGTTTTCTTGGTAAACTCATTGAGTTTTTTTAAGTGTTCCTGTATGTGTTTGATATGTTCAATTCAGTCAAACCTTAAATGGAACAACCATTTAAACTAATTGAACACTAAATTAATTTCTTTAAGCTACGCTTTCAGAATTCTTTCAAATTCAGTCGCCTCCATACTGCTTGCGTATATTTTGCAAATGTTCTTCTCACCTGAGATATGGTGTAATATTCTGGGGAAATACATCTCATAGCTTCCTGCCTTTGAGATTAACAAATAATAAGCAAATCCCACCCACGTGATTCTTGTAAGCCTCTCTTTATTATGTAGGTCCCTTACCATTATCTTCTCTCTTGATATATGAATCTGTTTTTTGTCAGAAATTACTTAAGGGTGGGAATATATTTTCAGCAAACGCTGATTCTATAACAACAACATTCAATGAAGTAATCATATTCATCAGGTGATATCAACGGCTACTCAACAAAAAAATTCACATATAATACATGTACGTTATTTTACAGCACCTTGCCAGATTAAACTGAGCTTCCAAAAGGAAAGTAATATTAATTTAAACGACATTTAGTTTAGTATTTACCATTTGGATTGTATAATACTAAAGAACCTTTTACAAGTACCGAACTTCAGTTTCTGGGTCAATGACCCCCATCTCGATCAGGTTTTCGTCCAGATTCCCTGATCCTTAAGCATATTCTGAAATGACCCCTTGTTTTGTTTCTGGGCATAAATGTAACTTCAAATTAACTTCTCCCCATAGCACGTCACACAGTTTTTGATATAAATAAATGTCATCAGTACTCGCTGCGAGCTTTGCCTTCTATTGTGCCAGAGAGAAAGAAAGCAAGGCTATCGGTCAAGAAAAGTAGCGCGAGAATAGTACGATTTATTAAACGTGCACTTGACGTAAATCAGCTGTTGCGGTTTCATACAATCGGAAACTTATGTGTCGCTACTGTAACGTCATGGGGATGTTCATGCTCCCGATTGAATGAAACCGTGATCAGCTGATTTACGTCAAGTGCGAGATTAAATATTTCCTAGTAGAATACTCTGGCAGAGGAAAGTAAAGTGATTCTGTGGCAAAAACAAAGTGTGTGTGGTTTTCTCTTGATTGTATTGTATTGTATTTTGTGAGTTAAAATTTGCAAAATACAGGGTCAAAGGAACATTTGCTTGTGCACAGTTCACAATATTTTGTTTCGTGGGTAATAATTATAAATAAATAGTTTTACTTTCTCGTTTACGGAATATAGACAAAGTCGTGTAACGCTGCGCGAAGAAACAGAGGATTTACGGCAGAAAAAAAATAATTGCCGGGTCCTGATAACGAAAATCGATACATTTAGTTGCGAAATTAAGAAAAAATCCTCTAACGCTTGGGGAAGCCAAAACCCCTGTTATGAAGGCCCTTTATACCGAAAAATCAATTGACAGCAAAACGTCCATTTGTTAACACCAATAGTGCCTAAACAGTAGGTAGATTTTTTCCAAGATGGATATTCCCTTGTCGATGGACGAGAAAGAGTTACTTAGAATTTTGGAAGAACTGGATTTTCAATCCGATTTCTCTGATGAGCTAGGCATGTTTGATGACAACGATGATGATAGTGGTAATGTTGACAGAAAATTTTTTAAGTACGTTACAGACGTTAGTCATTCAACGTACACTAATAGAGAATGGTATGATGTCAGTGGTAGTCATTTGAAAATAATTTTATTGGCCTAGAAAAGTACAATTATAAATACACTTATCCAACGGATAAGAGTAATTTCGAACAACATCATCATGTTTACCTAACATTTTTTGATGATGAGATAGTTAATTTGATTGTAGCTGAAACTAACAGAACTACTGCACAGTATGTAGATGAAACAATGTAAGTCCTAGAGCGCAAATGAAGTGTTGGGTAGATACAACTGAAGAATTCGCAAATTCTTTGGTATTGCATTGTACGTGAGTCTAGTAATATACCCAACAATAGACTCTTATTGGAGCAGAAATGTCCTGTGCAAAAATATTTTACCCAAAATTATGAGCAGAAACCAGTTTCAATTACTGCTAAGTTGCGTTCATTTTGTGGACAATAAATCTGCTAAAGAATGTGATAGAACTCACAAGTTCAAATGTATCTCGGATATGTTACAGAAGAAATTTTATAAAGAATATTTTCCGAGTGAAACTGTCGCCATTTATAAAACCATGGTGCCATTTAGAGGACGACTTTCCTTTCTACAGTACATACCAGGTAAAAGTCTTTAATATGGAATTAAAATCTTTAAATTATACAATAACATTGGATACACTTTACGCATGATAACGCACACAGGACGTATGCATGTTGTGGGGAAAACCTGTCAGAAAAAGTCGTGCTAGAGCTTGCGAATAATTATGTTGGCGAGGGCCGAACAATTGATTACACGCCAGTTCCTCTCTCAAAACAACTTGAAAAGAAAACACATTTGCTCGGAACATTAAAAAATAACAGGAGGCATCTTTCACGTATTATTCAAAATAAAATAAAAAGGGGGAAATTGTAGGAAACGAGTCTTTGACGATACTGTTGTGGGAAAATGGAAGGACAAAAGAGAGTATTTTTTCTGTCATCAAAAATAGTTTTAGATTTGGTTGCAACTGCTAAAAATGACCGAAAACTGGGGCTGAAAAACTGAAACCTGGACTAATTATTGAGTATACTCGTAATAAAGGAAAGCAAGTAAAAGACATTTCTGACCAAATATGTGTGTGTGTGTGTGTATATTATACACACACACACACAACACACATACATCACCACGCGCGCGCAGT